GGGGCAGCTGCGTCCCCTCCAGCAGTGAAGATGCAGCAGGATGAGCGGGACCAGAGCCATGCTTTCACTGCCATTGACTTTCAGTCTGGGAGGGTTGTTTCTAACAAGCGTTTGGTCCTGTGGTACACTTGACCTCATTGTCCCCACCTGTTGGGATTTTCCTGTTTCGAAGCAAAAGCCACCTGCCCCCTCTCTCCAGGTGCCTTGTTTAATACTCAACAGGGTTGTCGCAGCAGCGGTGACCTATCTATCTACTGTAATAGGAAAAAGTCCTAATGTGACAGATAAAGCAGCAGCCATAAAGATAAGACACGGGCGTGTTAGGTGGATTCCCTTTCGCCCATGCAACCCTCGCAGATTTCAGGCTGCATGGTGCTATCTTTTTCAGTCTTTTCCTTCAACAACATGGGGAGCCCACACTCCAGCTGCAGCTGTATTTCCTGTGAGCTCTTCACCCACGGGCTAGTGATCCCACTGATTTCTGTTCCCTTGACATCCTTGCTTTACCCACTACGCATCCCTTTTTGGCACCAGGCTACCCTGTAATTTGCTTAGCTTGTGACCCCACACATCTTTTGAAATGGATTTACTTGCAGAGGGGTCCTCAGGGAGGGGCTGAGAGTCAGGGAATGACTTTTGTTGTAGCAGTTGCAGAGTTAATACAGCCCTTAGATTTACCTGTGGCATTGGGAAGGCGGTGCTCTTCTCCTCCTCCTCCTCCTCCTCTGCCTGTCAGGCTGCCCTTGCCATAGCTCTCTGCTGTAGCTCTGGTCTCCTTGAACATTATTCTCTTCATTTTAGGGCTTTCCAGGGTATTATTCCTGTCTGGCTTGTCAGGGCACCTGAAGTCAGGATCAGTCTGGCTTTTGGTCAGCTGCCCGGCCAAGCAGCCTCCTCCATCCCACACCCCAGAGACATCAGCCTTGGAGAGGGCTCTTGTTCTGAATTTTGTCTGCTGCTGTCAGTGGGATTACAGTGCCATGGCAAACTCGATGCTGTGAACAAATGGGTGAAAAAAATGTTTATATTTAGAACTGGAACCATGATAAATATCTGGAATTTGTCCAGGATCTGCCTGCTGTACCTTTTTGAAATGCAAAGTGCATTTTTGTTAAAATACCTCTCTCCAAAGGTCAGTGTAACCTAAGTAATAAATGTGCTGGCCTTTTGGGAAAGCAGGTGAATTTTCAGATGTACAATAGCTACTTGCAGTTGAGAGCAGGGGTCCCATAACCCAAATCTCTTTCAGTGCAGCCTGTATGGGTGGAAATACTGCCTTACAGCCAGGGTTTCTTTAGCAGGTTTCAGTGAAGAGCCTACACCATTCTCAATTCTTCAGTTCAGCCTTTTCTTCCCTTTTTCTGTCTTATTTGGTGTTTGCTGAAGCCTCGCTCGTGTATTTTAGGGATTCGTCCTGCGAGCATCACGTTTGCAGTTGGTGGGAGTAGGGATGAAAGAAGGAAAATGCTAGATGGAATCTCAAGTCATCACACAGGGGAACCCAGTGGGTTTGTGTCCCACACGATGATCTAGCCAGCCTGCTAACATGCTGGCCCAGGGATTGAAGTATCTGAGAACCTTACATTTTTAAAATCCTTTTAGCTTCCTGTAAGGTGGAGGAATACTATTACTCTCTCTTAGGCAGGGAAGTGAGGCATAAAGAGAAGAGATTACTTGCTCGAAGCACTGTAGGAATCTCATGGCTGAAAAAAACCCCAGAGCTGGTGTAGCTCTTAGCTGCCTGTCACAGCATCAGGCACCCTTGGGTCGGGTGCCATTTCTGCCACAAGCTTGTCTGTCATTATCCCACTGACAGTCTTTTGGGTAGGAAAGCACAGGCAGGAGAAGGCGAGGGTTTGGAGAAATAGCAGAGGGACTGAAATGTGATCCAGACTGTGGAAGCCAAGCAGCAAATTAGAGCAATTCAAAGGCACAAACATCCTGTTGAGCTTGCCTAGTCCCCGTCCGTACATGAGTAAAGCACATGCCCAAGCTCAGCTTCGGGCGTGTTTCAGTGGGAAAGCTCTGCCTCCCCTGCCTTGGGTTATGTCAGGCTTTATTCCTGGTGGCAGGTGTTCACGCGAGGGGGGAATGGCGTTATAAATAAATTATCCATTCATTTCCTTCTGGAGACTTTTGTATTGTTTAGCCACAATATGTTTTCCTGTGGGTTTTTTTTTTTTTTAAAAAAAAAACAAAACCAAAACACAAAAAAAGCCAAACCCTGGCCCCAAGTTCCTCTCTGGCAGGGTGAACCCAAAGCTGTGTTTGAAGTGGGTGCCCATGTCATGGCTCTTCCTTCTGTTGCACCGCTGTCACTGTCACTCCCACCTCGTTTCTCCGTGCTTTCTGAAAGCGGCGTGAGAAGTACCTGCCCGCGAGCTGTGCTGGAGGGCATCACATCCTACCGTGCTCAGTCTCTTCTCTGGCAGGTCACTCTGGGAGGAAGGCTGGTGCTGCACAGCAGGTGGGAAGCAGGGGATTCTTGAGATGATGAGGAGAACAAAAGCTCTCTTCCCTCCTTTCTCCTTCAGGCCAACACGAGGATGTTGAGGCCAGGGCACTTGGTTTCACAGAGGAGTTGGTTTTAACCATTTTAGAAAAAATGCAGCTCAGTGCTTCTCTACCCAAGGAGGCTGTCACCCAGTGAGGCGGGGTATGATGTCAAAGAGCCGCACCGAGCCCCCTGGGTCGCACAGAAGCCCCTCGGAGACTGACTCGGCAGCACCATCCATGGCTTGGCTTAACCCGTGTCCCATCTGAGTGGTAAAAGATGGGGAGCTCGTGTGGGAAGGTGTGGCCAGGAGTGAAGTCACCCCTTGCTGCTCGGGGTCAGGAGCCCAGCGCTCTGTGCTGGCTGGGCTTAGGGCACCATGCCTGTCTTCACACCGCGGTTCCTCTGCAGCAGCAGCAGCGTTTATGGGGAACGTTTGCAGGCAGACACATGGAGCAGCACCCACATGAGCCACAGGTGGGTCTGTGCTGAGAGCAGGTGTCTTCAGGAGGCAAGAAATGAGATTTCTCCCGGGAATGAGAAGAGAAATACCCATTCCACTTGCAAGCATGGCCAAGGCTGGCCCCGCAGACCCAGGGAAGCCTCTCCTGCACCAGGATTGCCGAGAGAAGCCTGGCTCGTAGCTGCTGCTGTGCTGGGCGGGAGGAATTAACACTGCGGGGAGGGCTTTTCTCCTCCCCATCAACCCCAGGACTCTGCCTTCATGGCTTTGGCATGGAAATGTCAAATGCCCCACTGGTGTGTGAGCAAGGGTGTATTTATTTGCATTGGTGCACGACAGCATTAACCATTACCTTGTGCTGCACAGTGACTGTCACGTGCAGTACGAACGAAGAGATACAAAAGACCTTTTATGTAGCGACTTCATTTACCTGTCGTAACTTAGGTTTGCCCTTTTTATCTTGATGCAAACAGGAGCTTTTTCCCTTTGTAGCTCTTTGACTCCAGTTGCAGATACCTGAAGGGCTAATCCTATGTTCAGATCCCGCCTGCGAGCCCTCTTCTCTTGCATCTGTAAAGGCAGCGGTTGCTTGGAGCCTCTATTAGTTCAGTCTCAGCCTCTTGCTGCCCTGCCTGATACGGTTTTGCTTGGAAAAAAACCAAAAAAGGTGTTGCAATTGCAGCTTTCCTGCCAGCTTTCCCAGCTGAGCTCCCAGCATCTTCGGGTGTTTCTTTCTGAGGGAGGAAAGCGTCAGAAAATCCTTCCCTTGTCGTGAAGCAAAGCCAGGGGTTACAGGGAGAAAGCAGCTTGAAGGAAGGGGCAGGCAGGCAGCTTCTAAAGCTTCAAACACAGCAAAGTATTTCAAAATAAATGTGTGCGTGTGATGCAGTTTTATATTTAACAGGGTGATTTTGAGCACCCAGAATGCCTTCCTGCAAAAAACCTGCAAAGCCAGGCACAAAGAGGAGGAGAGGTGGAGTGGGTGGGAAGTGGGGAGATCAAAGTGCCTGTAGCACCGAGGAGGTGGTGGTGGTGGCCATGGGTGCCCTGGTCCGGGAGCAGGACCCCCTGTGTTCATGGATATGCAGAAGAGATTGTCTCCGCCTTGGGAAACTTGAAGCTAAGGCTTAAGATCGAAAGTTGAGTGTTTTTCATTTCTGCTTCACGCTTGTGTGAACTTCACTTTAGGCCTCAAATCTGCTTTTCTTGAAATTGGTCTCGAAATTGCTATTGACTTTAAATGCTGCAAGATCTCACCCATAGATCCTCCTTCTCCCATCTGTAAAACGAGGATGGCAGGATTTGTCTGCCATCTGTGGTGCTGTGAAGCTGAAAACAATCATCATTTATAAAGTGCTTTGAGCTCAAATGGGAGGTTCTGTGTAAAGGCAAGGCTTTGTGAGATGAAATGTTCCTTAATGTGCCAGTTGCATCTGATATCTGAACCAGGGGCTGGGTTGAAAGTTTTGGAAGAACAGTCTGGTGATGCAGAGGTAGATGCTCCAGCTGCTAAATGTCTTGCTTTAGTTGTGTTATTCTAAAGCTTCTGTTTATCATTACAAAAATAAGGCACGCAGAAGCCTGTGACTGCGTGCCCCATAAAATTCAGTGTCCTGCATTCACATTCATCTTGAGCACCTCTGATCTGAACAGCCACAATGCTCAGAGATGGTGTGAGTCTGGCCACCAGCTGCTGATTTACCAGCACACACGTTCCAAATAGGAAACTCACAGCCACAGTCACAGGCGTTCGGCCTTTCCGAGTGCAATAGGATGCATCTGATGGGAACAAAAGGATGTTCATTTTCATCCAGCTTTGCGGGGCGTAGAGGGGAAGCTGCCTAACCTTTGCACCGAGAGCCACATTTGCCTTATATTTGCATAAAGCTGAGAGCCAAGCACAACATTTTGAGATTAAATAGCATGGTTCCCAGCAAGTAATGCAAAGCACGCGCAGCAAGCCGGGTGCGTTTGCCCGGGCGGAGCTGACACATAGCTCAGGTCAGGCACTTCTGACAGAGCCGTTGGCTTCTCTTTTTGCAGACACAAGCCATCAGACCCGCTCCGTCTCCAGCCGTCCCTACTACAGTTTGCCTAACAGCAGCCATGAGAGACGCTCGGTCCTCGCTATCACGGAGCCACCGCGTTTCCACTCCCAAGCCAAAGGCAAGAACGTGCGTCTGGACGCTCACTCCCGCAAGGCCACGCGGAGGAACAGTTTCTGCAATGGAGTCACCTTCACCAACCGTCCCATCCACCTCTACGAGAAGGTCAGGCTGAAGCTGGTGGCTGTGCATCACGGCTGGAGCGGGGCCCTACGCTTCGGCTTCACCATTCACGACCCGTCGCAGATGAGCTCCGACGAGATACCAAAGTACGCCTGTCCGGACCTAGTGACCCGGCCCGGATACTGGGCCAAAGCTTTGCCAGAGAGATTTGCTGTGAGAGACAATATCTTGGCCTTCTGGGTTGACCGTCATGGGAGAGTCTTCTACAGTATTAATGATGAGGAGCCAATATTGTTTCACTGTGGTATTAAAGTTTCTGGTCCTCTCTGGGCACTCATAGACGTCTATGGAATTACCCATGAAGTGCAAATACTAGGTAAGTGTGTGGTTTTGACCAAGGCTTGCTGTTCTGGTTGCTCTTTCCACAGGGGCATGATCATGTAGAAAAGATGGATGATCTATCTAGTTGATAATTTCTGCAAGACACTTAAGAATACTAATTTACTCTTGGTTTTGTACCTTGTATTAACAATTTTTCTTTTGCCAGCAGTGGGGATCCAGAAAGCAATATATTTCAGAGATGTCAGTGATGGAAAGTCCTAAGGCTGTGCATTATAGCAGCCGTGTGAAGGGCTAAATGGAATACTTTACATGTAACTTTACCCAGCTTTTTCTGAGGTAGATGTGCGGTTATGGCATGGAAAAAAAACATGGAAGAGCAATGAGGACATGTAGCACGAGCTCCTGTGTACTGCAGAATCCTGGCACCATGTGCCACATCCCCCTGCACCCCTAAGCAGACTGCTGCATTAGGTGGTGCCTGGCTGATTTACAAGCATCGCCCTTGGGGAGGGCTGCAAGAGGAGTTGAATTTGTTCCCATTAGCAAATCGAGCCAACTGCCATGGAATGACTTTTCCTTTCTTGACTTTTACAGCATTGAAATTTCAAATTAATTCAGTGTTAGATGGAGTGTTTTGAACTGATCTATGCTGAACTGAATCCTTTTAAAATACCAGTGTTGCCCTTTCCTGGAGGCTCCTAGGAGCTGATTTAGTTTTAACAGAGAAACTGAGCTGCACCTGCTTGAGGGGATGGTGCCTCCATCCTCACGCCAAGCAGACACCACCAATAAGCTGCAAAGTGTTAGTGGGCAGCTTCATCATTTATTCTTCTGAATAGTACCAATTATTTCACAAGCAAGAAGGCTGCACATAAACAACACTTTGCCCTGCCTGCTCTGCCTCAACTGTGTAATTAAACCTTACCAGTAACTTATCCTGTAATTGCAGTTGCAGCTCACTGCAGCCTCTGGTGCTCATCACAGAGGTGAAGGACCGTTTGCTGTATTGGCCAGTGCAGCTGCTTCACTAGAACAGACCTTCCTCTTCATTAGAGTTAGAAAAATAAAATGCAGCTTATTTCTGCCCCCTAGTCCTGCCCACAGCGTCCAAGTCTGTAGAGTGAAAGACTTGGCCAGCAGGCACCTGTACTCTCTTTTTTTTGGTTGTTTTTTTTTTGTCTTAAGTACTAAGCCCCACAAAGTATCCCAGGAAGCAGGGTGATCCTCAGCCCTCTGGAGCACCAGGAGACCTGTCCTCCTTGTTACAGATGTGGTGGTGTCATAGTGGACATGGTTGTCTCTTCCTCCCAGAATTTTGCAAGTCACGAAGGCTGTGAAATACAGCTCAGATACAGAGGCACAAAATGCATCTTTCAGCATCGTGAAGCTTGGATACATCTTACTCCTCTGTGGGATCACTTCATGACAGACACCCTGTGCTGGCTAGAAGCAGCTGGTCCAGCTGCCAGCCTACACCAGTGGCCTCTCCTGCATGGGCTTCTGAGTGAAGACAGCATCTGTTTTGCAGCTGCTGGATGGATTTGGGTGTTTTTCTTTCTTTGGTAAAAGCCAAGGAGCGTTGGTGTTGGGATGCTTCTCCCCTCTCAGTCTTTGGGAAGACCAGACGTCTGCTTCATTTACTCACACTTTTAACTTCCCTATGGTTTAACTTTGCTCAGCTGGTTAATGCCCTGCCTTTGGAGTGAAGTGTCCAAACTGCTCTGGGCAGTGCTGGAGGTAGAAGGAAGGCACTCCTGAACACCTCCCCCCTCTTTAAATCCCACCCCTGGCAGGTGAAAATCTAGGAAATGAATTAAGAGTCAGCATCCTGACTTTCACTTTGCTGTGAAAGGGGAAAATAGCCCTCTACTTTAAAAACCTTCTTTCTAACACCTGCAACAAGTAGCTTTTGTGACAAGCTCTCAACTCAAAATCTCTGCAGTGGTGTGAGTACCCCTGAAATCTTTTTAAATGATCTCTCTTGGGCATACCTGTGCCCAGAAACCTCACAGCTCTAAGACAGTGACAAGGAGTGTGAAAAGATTGTCTGTTCATGCTTGTGCTCCCTCGCAAATCACTGTGTTGTGCATTTGGCTTGCACCAGACCTTTGGACCACAAGATACTGAGACTTTGCCTTCTTTTACAGAATAACCTCAGAGCTATTAGACCCCTCTGCTGAAAAAGCTGTAGGACCACACCAGTTAACAGCTTTTCCCTGTTCACCGGTGCAAGGAGCTCCCAGATTACATGAGTACTTCATAACACTTATTTTCCCTCAGCTAGTGCCAAGATGCAGCGATTTCTTTGCCTGTTGCCTGCTCCACATGCAACTCTCCACCACTAGCTCTTCATTAGTGGTTGACCTCTGGCTAATTTTTCCATTGTTTTTCCATTCAGAGGAACAGAATTCAGATAATCTGTGGGCTGAAATAATAACTATTGTAACCGTAAAAGTAGGCAATTGTATCTTGACTCTAATGCCCCTTATCACTGGGTTTATCTCACAGATAGCATGTTTGCAGAGACCATGACCACTGCCCGTCTCAGCACTGCCCGTCTCAGCACTTGCCTTCCGCAGAGCAACCATGATTCAGCCAACTTCAATAACAACGAACTGGAGAATAACCAAGTGGTGGCGAAAATTGCAAACCTAAACCTAAGTCGGGTGCCAGGACTTGCGACAGACAACCACATCATCCCCTGTTGCCCAAACCGGCGGCAGCGTGCCCAGGGGGTCCCAGCCTTCCTGGACACAGACCTGCGATTCCACCCCACCCGCGGACCTGACATTACCTTTTCTCAGGACCGAATGGTTGCGTGCACTAACTGGCAAGAAAGCAATAGGACTTTGGTGTTTTCTGACCGGCCTTTGCACATCGGTGAGAGCCTCTTTGTGGAAGTAGGACACCTTGGGTTGCCATACTACGGGGCCCTTTCGTTTGGCATCACTTCTTGTGATCCGAGTACTTTACGGACGAATGAGCTGCCAGCAGATCCGGACTTTCTCTTGGACCGCAAGGAGTACTGGGTGGTTTACCGAGCATTCCCAGTCCTCAGCAGTGGCGACATTCTCAGTTTCGTGGTCTTGCCGAATGGAGAGGTGCACCATGGAGTGAACGGAGCCAGCCGAGGAATGCTAATGTGTGTGGACACCTCACAGTCTCTCTGGGTGTTTTTTACAATCCATGGTGTAATCAACCAGCTGAAAATATTGGGTGAGTGCAGCCAAAAGAAATGATCCTGAGGAGCACTTTGCTGGTGATGTTTCCTGGCCCAGAATGGGAGCTGCGGGTTTGCATTCGCAGCGTTGCCTTTAGCAGGTGGTCACCGATGTGAGTAAGCAGGTCCTGATCTCACCTTGTGTTTGCAAACAAGAGTGAGCAAGACATGGTAGCTGTCACATAGATGTATGCAGCCTGTGTAAGTGCCCTGGAAGACGATGAGCCTTGCGAGATAAAATCAGCAGCAGGCAGGGAGGCAAGGATGTCTGAGAGGAGGACAGCTGGTTTTGAGAGGGTTTGTTTTTGAAGGGATTCTTTATAAACCTGCTGTTCAAGCTAACAGGTATTAAAGTCCTGCCTTGACAAGGGTGCTGATCTTTGTGAGCGCAGCTCTGGTTTAAGCACGTGTGCTGTTGATGGACAGTAATGGCTCCCCAAGCAGTGCCACATCTCAGGTAGCAGATGTCACTTTTGATTTATTGCTGGTGACCAGTTATGGTGCTTCTCCTTTCCTCTTGTTTAGGATTCCGTCAGAAAAGCAGCTGTTGATGACTTTGTAAAGCAGGTTTTTCTAATTTAAAGCAATGCCCTTTCCCAGCTGCCCCTGACCTGACAGTGAGACAGTGATAGCCTGAGGCCACTGCTGTGGGAGAGATTGAGACTGTGGGGAAGTGACTTTACACCCCCAAATGATGGCTGTCAGATAATCTGGTGTTCGCTTCACTGAAGCACTGAACAGAAATTGTACAATGGCATAGCGAGGTCCTGGCCCTGGAGATCACATACAAAATCATGCACCTGTGTCTTACCGAGGTGCAACACTTAGCTCAGGGGCTGGACTTTCTCCTGAAGCACCTCACTCACGTAGAGTGGGAGCAGCTCCCCGGGCTCAGGGGCATTTAGCTGGGGCTTGGGGGTCAGTCAGCTCTGTGGTGGGCTCAGCTATCTCTTGTGTTTGCAGGCACTGTGCAGTCCAGCCCAGTGACCGTCTCTCCCTCAGGATCCCCCGGCGGCTCGCAGTACGACAGCGACTCGGACATGGCCTTCAGCGTCAACAGGTCGTCCTCTGCTTCAGAGTCATCGCTCGGTAAGGAGAGCCAAGCAGGGGTCTGGGCTGATAGATGGTGCTGTGCAAGACAGCAGGGCAAGGTTAGGGGGGAGATGTTACATCCCCTGCGAGGCCAGCAGAAATAATTGGAAGAGAACACAAAGCGGTGGGAAGCTTGTCACAGCCTGAAGAAGGGCTGTGTGTTGCTTCCCACTTTTGTCTGTCTGTCTCATGAAAGTCATCCCAGGTCCTGCAGGGAAAGCGGGGCTACACAGCTACACCGTGAAACGGGTGTGCAAAATCACAGCCCTGTTCGGGGAATCCCAGGCAAGCTGTGCTTTGTCCCATCTGTACAAAAGGGACGGCAGGCTCTGCCCTGTGCTGCTGATCAGAATGTGCTGTGGTTTATTTGGCCAAACGAACAAGGCAATGGCTAAAGAAGGAAGAGCCTTAAAAAATGGATTTGAAGGTGTGTTGCACATTGGCATCCTGCTGACTGACTAATGTTGTTCCTTCCTCCTCCTTTGCAGTGACTGCTCCAAGCTCCCCCCTGAGCCCCCCCATCTCTCCCGTCTTCCCCACTCCAGAGCCATCAGGCAGCAAGAACGGGGAATGCACCGTCTGCTTTGACAGCGAGGTGGACACGGTGATCTACACCTGCGGACACATGTGCCTCTGCAACACCTGTGGTCTTAAGCTGAAGAAGCAACTCAACGCCTGCTGCCCAATCTGCCGACGAGTCATCAAAGATGTTATTAAAATATACCGCCCTTAGCGCCCGGCTTGGGCTGTAGGAAGGGGGAACACCGCTAGCAGTAACCATGCCTTTCCGTCCCTGCTTATGGGTTATCGTGCTGGTCAGTCGTTATCAAGTGGCTCGTTATCTGTGTTTCCTTATTTGACTGGTAGGGCACAATTCAGGGATAAAATTGAGCTGAGGATCACGTGGAGCCCAAAGGCACGGCTGCCGTGTGCCCACCCACGGGGGAATCCAGGGAATTGCAGTCTGGACATGACCCAGCTGTAAATGAGAGATTTCCCATGCAAAGGCTCTTTTTTTCCTCCTCTTCCTCGGGAGGATGCTCGCTGTGGCATGGATCGGGATGGGGAGGTTGCCACTTGGTCAATGCCGGGTGCCACTGGGCTTCCCGACCCCAAAACCCCGACAGCTTTAGGCTGCTGCTGGATGCTTGCGCTTTGATGGAACGTAATTAGGACAAGGCCCAGTGGGAGGGTTCAAAGTGGACAAAACTGATTTGGAAATGTCAGGTTCATCCACGTAAGGGGAACTAGCTAAGGCCAAAATAGTAGCACAGCTAGATTCTCATTTGTTTGGGTTTCGCCCCCTGCAAACAGGCTTCTGGGGCACATGGAGAAGCTGGTCTGGGCTTAGATAAAGCAGCTTCTGCTTTCTGTGTCAAAGCAGGGACTTTTGGCCACGGAGGCTGAGATGGGGTAGCAGTGGGGAGCACAAGCCTGTCAAGAGCCCCAGCCATCCCCAAGTGCTACAGCAGCAGCGATGGGCTGTTCAGGCACTGCCCGTCTGGCTGCTGAAGCCATGAATTGCAGCCTGCGGATGAGAGGGGCATTTGGAAATAGCGCAGGGCTACTGCCCTCTGCAGTGATGGTGTCTGTCACCTCCAGGCACACATGCCTGCGTTTTGCTCTGCTCCTCTTCGCAGGCAGTGTAGCTGCTGTCTCACACCTCCCTGCCTGGCTCTCCCCTCGCCTTTCTGCTGCAGCCAGCGCCACGGCAGGGCTCGGCCTCCCTTCTGCCCCACCACAGGGATGTTTTGGAGGCTGTGGTGAGAAATTAATTTCTGACCCAGTCCCAGCAGGCTCACCTTTTGTTTGGGGGCTGTGTTTGTGCTGATTTTACTTGTTCTTTCTCCTGCCTTTCCAGGTTTATCAGCACAGCTCCCAGCTGCCTGGCCACTGAGGCCCAACAATAGATGAGAACAGGCATCTATGAAAAAGACTCTGGGGCTATTACTAGATGTTGGGACTTAAAGGGTAAATGAGTTTCAGCTGTAGTATTAGACATCTACAAACAGGAGTAATCTGGATGAGCTGGGCAGCATCTGAACATGCAGCACTGGGGCTGGTGCAAGGAGCTCGGTGTCCTGCTCCTGCTCCTTCGTTCTCCATCCTCTGCCCTCTGCCCACTTGCACAGCTCCTGTCCAAGTCCTTCAGCCTGAGCCTGGCTGGTTTCCAGCTGGTCCAGTCTGTAAAGAGAGGAAGGGAGAGGATGCAAGTGGGAGGATGAGGGGCTGGTATCATTGTAGCTCAGTGACCACGTGCCACTACGTGTGTAAAAACGGCTTTCTTCAGAAAGGTGCAATTGCCACATTTTAGTCCAAAAACCAAGAATAGCAACTCCTGTATGTTTCAGGGGCTTGCAGGCACCGAGGGGCAGCCTGACATTGTCAGCATCTGTCCTCTCACCATTTGCTGGTAGCCGTGGGTGCATGGGCACCCTTCACAGCACCGCTCCCTGACAGCGCTGCGTGTGGCCCCATCCCAGCCCTGCTCTGCCACAGGGAGAGCACACCTGGGGGAGCAGCGCCTCATCCTCCCACACGAGCTATGGCTGCCAGGTCACAGGGCATGGAGAAGACTTTTTTTGTTTCCTTGAAGAGCTGATTAACATTTTAAATGTATAAAGTGTATAAATGAGAGGCCGTAGAGTGAGATCTCTCACCCATTGCCCTGCTGCAGAGGCTCAAGAGCCTGCCAGCTTTGCAGAGCCCTTTTTGGAAACTCGGCTCGTGCCACTGGCCGTGCCACCACCGAGCATGCTCAGCCCTCAGCAGAGGCACCAGCACCGTGACTGTGGTGTGGGTTCACTTACACCTTTTGGAAGGAAGGCAGTCAGGGCAGCTTTGCAGCAGCTGGAGCCTTGCCCAGCCCTCCCGGCTGACCCCTCAGCCATTGCCTTCGCAGAGACTACCCCGGTCCCACATCCGCAGATCAGGGTCGGTGGGCACAGCACCAAGAGCACAATGACAGCCACGTATGTGAGCATGGGAGGAAAGGCCAGGTGGGTTAATGCCTGCCTGGTGACCAGGCCGCAGCGGGAAACCTTTGCATGATGAGGAATTCCAGGAAAAACACCTGTGGGAGATGCTTGCTTAGATCAGGTCTGGGCTGGCAAACGCCAGTGGCCATCCCTGAGGCTGCTGTCCCGGTTTTAGGGGTGCCCAGTCCCTTTTTCGGTGGCTGCGTGCTGAGCGGAGCCCATTTGCTTGGCTGACACTTCAGGTCCTCAATGAGCAGGGCTAATTGCATACCTGCGATGGGGTTGGGTTTTTTTTTGTGTAGCTCTCCTGGTTTTTTTCTTTAAGCTAGCAAGGAGAAATACCAAATCCACCTCAGGCTGTGTCTGAGCTGTTTGGGACAGGTTGAATTTTTTGCTGTAACAGCCAAGTCCAGTTTCCAGAGGGGCAGCATCCAGCAGGGCCAACAGGGAGCCAGCTCAGTCAGGATCTGGCGCGTGGCCATGCAGCAAGCGGGACATGAGAACAGTGGCTGAGTTGCCCTGCCTATCCGAGAGCAACAGGAATTTTCCAAAATAGGCCTCTTAAAAAAAAAAAAATTCCAGGAAAAGGTAGCCTCTTACAGATTTAATTGTTAGTACTTGTATTGCTATTTTTTTTAAACAGTCCAATGATATATGATTTGTACAGAAGATCTGTTTGTGCCTTATAAGGGTGTCTGTGCACTTTTTATCCTTTTTAAAGCAACTTTTAAAAAGAAAAAAAAACGGGGAGAAAAACATCACAGATCAATGGTAGTTTTATAGAATTTTGTGTTCACTGAGAATCCCGCTTTTTTTATATATCTATATATTGGAGTGAAAAAGTGTTTATTTCCATGGATTTCCCCCCCCTCTCCTCCTAATCTATTTGGTTAAAAATTTAAAAAAGGAAGAAGGAAAGAAAAAGAAGAGATGGGGATCTCTTTTATCTTCCCCCTTTCCAAGCCAGTTACTCCCTTATCATTACCTTCATGATTCAATACTGTGACCTGTACATCATGTTGAAGCTGAATCAGATTTTGGACCTCTGTATTAGGCTTTTCAAGCAAATCATTTGGGGGGACTGGGGTGGGGAGGGCATCGCACGAGGGAGGGAACTGCACTTCTACATGTCAGTGCTCTATAGCGTTGTGTTCAGTGCTGTGTGTTTTACTTTTGTCCATTTACCTGTTTTACATTAATATAATTTTACTTGTTTATGTATCAAATAAAACTTTGGCTTGTAAAGCGTGCTCCCGGACGTTTAAAAGTGTTTGACCTGGAGGGTGAGCACATCCTTTATTTCCAAAGTGTGGCAATACCACTGCCTAGCGGCAGGGCACCTCCATTCAGCTCAGGCACCTCTGCTTAAAAAAACCCCAACAAACAGTGCGAGGAACTTTAAATACCTTGCATGAGCTTCACTTTGCTCCAAGGAGGTCACTGCACAGCGGCTGCTCAGTCCAGCACTGGGGCTGTGGCAGCTCGGGGACCAAACCGACTGACCTAGGGATGGGGTGATGCACACATGAGCAAGAGCAGAGCTTTTTTCTTTTTTTTTCCTTTTTCTTTTTTCTTTTCTTTTCTTTTCTTTTTTCTCTTTTTTCTTTTCTTTTCTCTTTTTTCTTTTCTTTTCTTTTCTTTTCTTTTCTTTTCTTTTTTCTCTTTTTTAATTTCTTTTCTTTTCTCTTTTCTTTTCTTTTC